AGTTACAATATAGTATTAAATGAGTATGAGATGATATTAAATAAGTAAATACATATAATATTATGGATAGATATTCTTGAATAAAAAAGCCAATTATATAACGATATATCATGTTGTAAACTTATAATATCATATAATATTATAATCATAGTATTTTCAATTTAATTAAAGAGATATCACCTGTTTATCTCAGAATTAGAAAATCTATAAGGACGGACATGTTTTCTATTCTAATTAAATATTTATTGATCAATTTTAAAGTTTAAAGTTAATTTAAGCATTTTAAAAACGAACATAGAACATATTAATGAATAATTTTCTAAATATATATCTATAGATAAAGTATTTTTTATTAAGTAATATATAAAGTATTAGTAAAAAGCACTGTGATTAGGGATTGAAAAATTATGTGTGCACACCCGGATCCAACACCCGAGTGTGCACACCCCCATAAAAATAAATAAAAAAAAAGATCCAGGTGCATACCATTTTTTTTCTTTTTATGTGGGGGTGCACACCCGGGTGTTGGATCCGGGTGTGCACTAATCATGATCCTTAGGGATTACATGCATGTCACAACTTCAAAGAAAGCTTGAAAGAAAAACAAAAAGATTATGCTAAACCAACAATGTTAACTCAAAATTTTGTGCATCTCTTCTACCCACGTTTCATTTGTTTTGGCCTTTTCCGGAAGGTTTTCAATCCTTTGAACGTGTCAACCATTTTCTTTTCCAAAAAAAAAAAAAATGAAGAAGAAGAAGAAGAAGAAGAAGAAGAAAGACCCTACGTACCTAGCTAGACTTTCTTTTATTAATTAATTTGATATTTATTTGAAATAGAATTTATCAATCTTATTTCTTAAAAAAATTAGGAGTCCTTCACCAAAATTAAATCATTACAATAAACACCTAAAGTAAGACTAAAATAAGAGTGTGTTTAAATCAAGAGAAATAGAAATAGTTGGTTAATATAAGATATTAGACTAATATTTTAATTTAACTAAATAAATTCTCTCTTAATTTTTATTTTTTTAATCCAGACATATTCTGGACTTTTTGAGAGAGTAAAATTATTTTATTCTTTTTTGTCATACACTTATTTTGAGGAAGGCTTCAGAAATTTAAAAGTCCATTTAATTTATTGCCAAACTATTAAAAAATTCCAACCAACCATTTTCAATGCAGCGGTATTAAACTGTTAGAATCTTTTGTGTTCACATTTATATATATGCATTTCATTTTCCAATCAAGTCGATCGGAATTTTACAATATCGGATAAGGAGTGGTAATTTGGTAGTTTGTAAAGAGGTTTGTTATCCATTTTATTAATTAAATTTGGATACTTTTGAGAGGCTAATTAAAAAAGTAATTTTTTATAAGAAAAAAAGGAGAAAATCAAAATGTTTTGGTATTATAAAAATGTTAAGATACATAATAATAATTATGCGATAAATTTAATAAAATTAAAACTTATACTATATCTCACATATTTAATGATCATGATTAAATATTTTGATATTTTTAATATCAAGATGTTCTAATTATCCCCTCTTTCTTATAATTTCCTTCAATTTTTTTAATTTATTCAAATGAGGGGAGAGTAGGGTAGTAAAAGGATGCATTTTTTAATAATTTTTTACTATTCATTTCTCCCAAACCAAACACTCCCTAATTAGTATCATTCCTTACTATGTGGACTAAGAGAAGCTTAATCTTGAGGTGTGTGTAAGCTAATTTAGTGATATCCTAAGGCGTGATTATAGCCACTATTAATAATGCTATGGCCTCTAAAACTGTAAAATGTTGTCTTCTTTTTCTCTCTCTCTCTCTTTTTTTAATAATTGAAGCTAAATGAAAAATATTGTACTTAAAAATATTAATTTTATTTAATTTAATTGATAAAAATAACTAATAATTGTAATTATTAACTAATAATCAATAGAATAATTTATATTTATTAATTAATTAAAATCAGTCAACAAATTGATATTTTCAACATTATTTAAGAAAAAAATAAAAAATTTGGTGGCCCTAACAATTTTAATAGTGATAATAACCACACTTGATTTCCTATCCCTTAAACCAAAAAAGAAAAAAATAATAATGTTAGTAATATATAAGTAAGAATCTATTTATATACAAGTCTCATATATTACACTTATATAAAATCTTGATCATTTATTTTTTTTACCTTTAATTATTAAAATTTATCTCAATTTTTTAGATAAAAAAGATAATTACTTTTAATAAATATAATAAAAAGTTAATAAACCTCAATAATTAAAAATTAAGAGATAAATAATTAAAATTTTGTACAAATATAATATATAAAACTTTTGTATAAATAAACTTTAACTCTATACAAAAATGTTCAATTAATATATAAAAAAAGGAAAAAAAAAATCCAACAACAAAACAATCAAATTGAAATTAAACCCACAAGTACGGCAAGAGAATAATTAGAGTTTTGAACGAGGAATGTTTCTTTTCTTCATCTTTTAGCCAGGGGAAAAACTTGGAGTCACTCATCTGAATTTAATCACCGCGTGGACAACGTTTTGGAAATTTGTCCACGACCATTCCACCATATTGGCACTCCTGTGGAAATTTGAAAATCTAGAGAAAGGACTCAAAGAAGATGACGAGTATGTAATCAGAGTCAAAAGTTTCCGCTATCAATTATGAATCACAACTATGGTCAAGTGACGACCCCTTCACAAGGGCATTAACTTTATATAAATTAATTATTAGATTGACTTTTTTTTTTTTTAATGTTGGGTATATTTTTAGATTAATTTGTGTGTATTTTAAGATTAAATTTTTTTATAAATGATTTTAAAGATATATCTCACATTAACTAAATGCATAAATTATTTCTTTAAATGTTTGTTTCAAAACATAAATTTTAAATTGTTAACGAGTTAAATAAAATAATATCCATATTTAATTAAAATAAAAAATTATGAGTTCATGTGACATTATATTTAGATGGTATGGATTATAAAATGAAAGAATTGTTTTTTATTATCTAACTCAAAATCAAAACATAAATTCGAAACTTGTTATATAAAATAATATTTATTTATTAATAAATTTAACTTTTAAAATTTAATTTGCCATATATCATATAAACTACCATAAGAATTACGAAGTTACCAAAGTGTAGTTATTAGACTGTACTGCGTAGAGGGACCTCTCAAAGTGTAATTAATTACCATTAATAATGACCTAAACCTCCCCTAAACCCTATTTTTGAAACTATATTCCATCTATTCGAGATTAATGTTAATGTTTGATTTTAAAATTTCTCTTAAATTAATTATATGTAATTTTTTTGTTATATTTTAAAGAGATAAATATATATTTTTTAATTTTAACTTTATTGTTGTTTTTTTAAAAATAATATAAATAAAATATAAATTATTTCTAAAATTTTAATTTAAAAATAAAATTAATACAAATAATAATATATTTAATCTACAATAATAAAAAAATAAACAATTTTAATTAATCAAATTATAATCCCTTTAAATATCATAATCTAATTAACAAAAAAAAATTTACCATTTTTATTTCATTCAAATAAAATATATTATAAGTTTAAACTCTCCATATGATCCAATAAATAGACCATACTATTCCACGAGTACACGAGTAGTAGGTGAAGTTCATCTACTTCCCTAGTTCAATCATCACCTAAATAGATATTAATTTTTAACTCATATTTCCTTTGTAAAAATAAAAAATATAATAAAAAATATATTATAAGTTTTAACAAGTGTGGCTTTTAAGCTAAGCTGAGCCGAGCTGAGCTGAGCCAGCCAGATCTTGCTAAATTAGCTTCTTGGACGTGGACGGATCCAAAAAAATGACGTGAGGGGTTGGATTCATAAGTCAGTGGGATTAGGTATCGGGCCCCACCCTCTATCCTAACCACCGTCAGATAGTGCCGTGCCGTCAACTGCGTTGACCTGAGACGACGGCCCCCACTGCCCCTCCCCCACCCCACGTGGACTCCCCTCTTCTCCGTTACCGCTAACGGGGATACTCAACTTTGCTTCCGTCTCCCGCCGTTTTACTCGCAGCTAGACCTGACAAAAATCCACCAAATTCGTCAACTTGACCCTAACCCGACCCTTAAAAAACGGGTTAGGGTTTACACATCTCAACCTGCAACTCATAGATAACTCGTATTATCAACCTGTACGGGTTACGGGTCGGGTTAGGGTCAACCCGCAAGTTGACTGGTTGACCCGTTTATTTTATTTTTTATTATTATTTTTAAATATTATACTTATCATCCTTAATTAATTTTTCTATTGATAATTCGTTCTATTAATTAATACTCCCTAATTTCTAGAAAAAGAAGAAAAAATTATGATAAGTTTGATCTAATTACCCAAGTATTATTATTATTATTTCGGTATTAACAATTACCCAAATATCATGAATGAAATGATAATGCAACTAAAAATATTAAAAGATGTGAT